CCCCACTTTGTCTCTGATGAATCCTCTCACCCTCCCGCAAATCTGGCCTGTAACCCAGTTCTTGTATAAATAAATAACATAAATCTTAAAAAAAAAACAAAAACAGGGCTTCCCCTGGTGGCGCAGGCGGTTGAGTGCAGCGCTGTGAAGCTTTCTGCAGCCTCTGCAGCGTGGGTTCGATCCCGGCCAGCCGGTCAGGGTCTCACATGGCAAGGCAGACCTCTCCTGTCTCACCTGCTGCTCCCTTCAGCAGTGTGTTTTGTCAGTCTGCCTGTTCTGTTCCCTGCTCTGGCTCTGGTGAATTGTCTCACCCTCCCGTGCATCTGGCCTGTACCCCGGTTCTTGTATATATAAATAAATAAATCTAAAAACAAAACAAAAACAAAGTCAGGGACTATTTTGGTCAACAGTTATCTCCTTAGATGTTTACATTTCAAAGATTAATATTTCCAAGGGACTGAAAAAGACTGCAAGTTTTATCTAAGAGAGAACTCATTGACCTATTTGCCTATTATCAGAAATCTAAGATAAGTAATAATCAATCAATTGTCCAATTGACAATCAATTGTCCGATGATTTTTTTTTTTTTTTTTTGGCATTGGAAACCCAAATTACAGGAAGGCCTGATCATGGGTGATTCTGCTTACAGAATAAGGGGCAATAACTGTAGCCTTCTTCTGTGTTCTGGATCTTTGTCAAAGCAATTTCCTGACTATCAGTATTTACGTAAGTTCCACAACTGCTTATGCACATTTTAGTTTATGAAGTTACTATAACTCTGATATCTACCTCCTATTCTTGCTACGGAAGCAATTTGGGGTTTTTCCTTTTTTTCCCCTAACACGAGCCAAGGCATTCTTTTTTTTTTTTAAGATTTATTTATTTATGCACAAGAACTGGGGTACAGACCAGAGGTGGGGGGGGGGTGAGAGGATCCACCAGAGACAGAGTGGGGAACAGAACAGGCAGATTGATGGAAATACACAGCTAAGGGGCACAGCGGACGAGACAGGCAAGGTCTGCTGCACCATGTGGGTAGCTCCTTGGCTGGGGATTAAACTCGTGCTGCAGTGGCTGTGGATAGCTTCGTAGGTTGCATCTTAACCCCTTGCCCCACCTGGGAGGCCTCTGCCAAGGCATTCTTCTATATTTACTTTTTTTTTTCCTCAATTTGCCCTTCCTGTGGATACAAATAGGACATTTGTTTAGGATTAGAGCACTGTAAAAAGTCCTTTTAGATATAGAAACCCACATATTCAAAGGAATACCTTTTCTAATGGTGACTCCAAACCAATAAGTCTTTTGTAGTTTAACGTGGGCACAAGAGGTGTCCTCCAAAGGGGTGCAAAGGACATAGCCCTCTCAAGATCCAGAGTCACTCAAAGAGCGCCTAAGAAAGCAAAAACCTTGATTGTCTGGTGGTCTAGACACTTCAGTCGCTCACAAAGTGAGACACTGTGGAGACAGCCTGTGTTGAGCTTTAACAGTTGTCATTAATGACCTTTAAATATCTGTAAATATAAAATTACATGTAAACTGGTGGCTCTCCTAATGATCCTGAATATTCTAATTCATTTTCTTAAATCACCATCAAAGTGAAAACACAAAGGTTTTAATATAAATTTAAGGTATTTTTGACTGCCAATAACGGCTAACCAGAAACTTCTGCAGGGTACCACTAAGTAGAGAAAATGTCACTGGGCCTGAGAATTTGGGTATTTCCAGCCTCAATCACATGCTTACTCATACGCCTGGAAGGATCTATAACTTGATGGTGCAGCGTTTAGGGGTTTGGGTCCCAGCCCAGCTGCTTACTAGCACTGTAAACACAGATGTTACTTAATTCTCTATGCTTCAGTTTCCTCTTCTGTAACATGGAGGCAATAATTCATGCTTCATAGAGTGGTTGTAAGAACTGAGATACCACATGCAAAGTATTTATGAGATTGTATGGTACATATTTAGGGCTCAAAATGCTAACTATTGTCCTAAAAAACCTGAAAAGTTAGAGACAACAAGACCCATGGACTGGGACCCTTTTTTTAATTATTATTTTCTTTAAAGATCCATTAATTTATGCATACAAGAATTTGGGTACAGGCCAGAGGTGTGGGGGGGAGTGAGAAGATTCACCTGAGACAGAGCGGGGAACAGAACAGGCAGATAAATGAAATACACTGCTGAGGGGAGCTGCGAGTGAGTTAGGAGTGGTCTGCTGTGCCATGTGGGTAGCTGCTTGGCCTAGCTCCTTGGCTGGGGATTGAACTTGTGCTGCAATGGCTATGGATAGCTTCGTAGGTTGCATCTTAACCCCTTGTGCCACCAGGGAGGCCCTGGGAACCTTTATTAAAACAGACTCCCCTGAGAGTTGGCATTCTTGGAAAAAAGTAAAATTGTATATGTGCTGCTGAAGCGAGCACAGGAAAAAAGTAAAATTGCTTGTCAACTCTCTGTCTTGGGTTCCTCACCCACTGGCTTGGCACCCAATCCATGCCTAACAATCTGTACCCACTATGTGGCAGATAACACAGAGGATATTCTCAGTGGTTCCAAAGCCAAGTTATCAGAATATAAAAACGAGAAATTGGAGAATATCCCCTCATAATGTTCTCTTGTGACAAATGACACAAAAGACAGGGACAAAGAAAAACATGAATATTTCTGGAATGCTAAGAATCAATAACCAACGGATATCTAAAGCCAAATTCACAAAAATCACAGTTCAAAGCCTATTTTTTTTAAAGAGCTATTTATTCATACAAGAACTGGGATACAGGCCAGAGGTACAGGGGATGAGCGGATTCACCAGAGACAGAATGGGGAGCAGAACAGGCAGACTGATTGAAATACACTGCTGAAGGGAGCAGCAGGCGAAACAGGAGAGGTCTACTGCACCATGTGGGTAGCTCCCTGGCTGGGGATTGAACTTGTGCTGCAGCAGCTGCGGACAGTTTCATAGGTTGCATCTTAACCCCTTGCGCCACCAAGGAGGCCCCTCAAAGCCTATTTTTACAAACATTTTTCTCCTGCCATTATGACTTTGGAAAAGGGGCACTACAGACAGGTATTGAGATGGACATGGTAAAAATACTTACCTTTTTTTTTTAAAAAAAAAGATTCATTTATTGGGCCTCCCCAGTGGCGCAGTGGTTGAGCGCTGGGCTGCGAAGCTGCCCTCAGCCTCTGCAGCACCGGTTCGATCCCCGGCCACCGGCGAGGGTCCCATATGGCGCGCAGACCTCTCCTGCCGCCTGCTGCTCCCCTCAGCAGTGTATTTCGTCAGTCTGTCTGTTCTGCTCCCTGCTCTGGCTCTGGTGAATTCTCTCACCCTCTCGTGCTTCTGACTGTACCCAGTGCTTGTATAAATAAATAAATCTTTAAAAAAAAAAAAAGATTCATTTATTTATGCATATAAGAGCTGGGGTATAGACCAGAGGTGCAGGGGGTGAAAGAATACACCAGAGACAGAGCGGGGAGCAGAACAGGCAGACTGATGAAACAAACTGCTGAGGGGAGCAGTGGGCTAGTCAGGAGAGGTATGCTGCACCATGTGGGTAGCTCCCTGGCCAGGGATCGAACTCGTGCTGCAGAGGCTGTGGATTGCCTCATAAGTGTTGTTGCTTAACCCTTGCGCTACCAGGGAGGCCCAAGAATACTTACCTTCTGCTGGTACCTTGTCTGTTATCCCATATCTCAACTGCAGTTCCCAAGGAAAATGGAGTATTCCAGCCTTTTACTTTACCATCCTTCTCATCAGAACTGTATGGGAAGTAAAAAAAAAAAAGTATTTTTCCTGCTACCCTTCTAGATTCTCAGGGAATTCTGTAAGAATAGATAAATTAACAAGAGAAAAAGAAAAACAAGCAAGTTTATTAACAACATATCTCATATACTTGGGAGAAATGCAGGTATAACAAAGACCTTGAGTTTTTTCCTTTTTTTCTCACATTAGCCAAGGCATTCTTCTGCAATTCTTTTTTTTTTTCCTTCTCAATTTGATCTTCCCATAGATACCAATAGGATGTTGGATTGCAGCCAAGGACAGCAACTGTGGGAGGTAAATATTTTGGGAATTAATGGAAGATAATAACTAGTCAGTCAAATTTGTTATGTAGAGTCCTCTGGTGTTGTCTCAGGGTTGATAAGCATCTAGAGTTTTCAATGATTAGCTTCTGTACACATTTATATTTTGATTTCAGATAGATGGTGAGAAGTGAATTTTTCTTGCATCTGTTTCTATTCAGTTGCCTTTTGCTCAAAATAATCATTATGGCAAAGGTGTAGGTTCTGGGGTAATATGTTGTGCTCTCCTCTGTAGGTTTGAGTATCAAGCATCCTTGTCTTACAATGACCCTTTATGTTCTAACATGGAATGTTGTGAAAAAGGAGAGGTACTCTGTTCATGTGAAGCCTTTTTATAGCAAGAAAAGATTGATTTATAAATAAAATTACAATAGTAATAAAAAAAAAGTTAGAGTAGAGGGCCTCCCTGGTGGCGCAGCGGTTGAGCGCTGGGTTGCGAAGCTGCCCACAGCTTCTGCAGCGCTGGTTCGATCCCCAGCTGCTCCCCGGCCACCGGAGGAGGGTCCCACATGGTGCGCAGACCTCTCCTGCCGCCCACTGCTCCCCTCAGTAATGTATTTCATCACTCTGCCTGTTCTACTCCCCACTCTGGCTCTGGCTCTGGTGAATTCTCTCACCCTCCCGTGCTTCTGACTGTACCCAGTGCTTGTATAAATAAATAAATAAATAAATCTTTAAAAAAAAAAGTTAGAGTAGAAATCTGGCTGGGAAACTGTGGCATTTTTTTTCTGTGGAATACATATATATATATAATTTTAAGTGAAAAAGATGACTAGGCCATATTAAATGCATAGAAAAATTTTATAAAAATGAGTTAGTCAAAGGTTAGAGTTTGTTTTCAGTTGTGTAAAATGTTCATTTGCATTTTTTTCTTTATAGTTTCTCAAATCCATAATAAAGTGGGAGAAAGTTCGTGTTTTGGAAACAGCGCTTCTTCCCAGTTCTTCATGGGCTAGTTCTTTCAACAATGCCACTTCATCATTTCCATGTAGCTTAATTTGAGCACATCAGAATAAATCTCTTCAAATCTTAAAAAAATATTTTAAAAAGTTAGTCAACCCACCACCTTTCCTGTGGCCCTTATATCTCAAGAGGTGGAGCTACCAAACCACTAAGAGGAAGAGGAAGTTAAACCCTTTAAATACCAGGGACGACTTGGGATGCTCAGCTGGACATCTGGCTTCCCAGGCAACATGAAAGCTTTCCTTATTCTCGGGCTTCCTCTCTTTGCCATCACTGTCCAAGGCAAGGTCTTTGAAAGATGCGAGTTGGCCAGAACTCTGAAAAGATTTGGAATGGATGGCTACTGGGGAATCAGCCTGGCAAATTGTAAGTCCACTTCATACTTCCGTAAGCCAAGTGTGGGTAAGATATTAGAAGATGAACAGTAAGAGTGGCGATTTGAATGAATGGGCTTTTAAAATTTTTTTGAAAGCTTGTTTTCTTACATTCCTCAAAAACATCCAGTTGAGGGGACAAAGGGTAAGAAGAAAGAAGAAAGGAAGCACAATGGGTCTATGGTGGAGGAATGTTAGTAAATGCGTGGTGAAATATGGGTAAGTGCCTGGTGGTGATACCTGATGGGTACCGCAATATTACCTCAACCAAATATTAAAAAGCAAACAAACATCACCTTGTTCCTTTAGAATCAGAATTGCCAAATGAAGGAATGAGGAGGGCACAGGGAGTGAGCCAGGGCCCCTGTACCCTTCTGGTGCCCGCTGTCCCTGACTCAACACAGCTAGGCTGACTGAGAGCTGCATTTGGGAACTCAAGACATCTCTGTTAAGTTCTAGTACTTGACTCGAGTCATTTCCATTCGGGCATTTGGATTCTGCGAGCCTAGAGTAATAGAGTGTGATTCCTTTTTCATTCCCCTTCCATGAAGTGGGATTTTTAACAGCAAAGTTATGTTGCACTCTTAGTACTAGGGCAGTAAGAATCTATTTCCTCTCAGTCACTGTCAGGGGAACTCTGAAATGCAGCATGAAATGTCCTATCACTCTTACTCCCAGTTAGTTAATTAATGCTTTTCAGTTTCCTCCATCCAATTCATGATGTGCCCTGAATGAAAGTTTTGTTATATTTAATCAATATTTGTCAGTGTAATCACTGTACTTTTTAGACTGAATTCAAACATTTCCCCTCAACTCTTAATACTTTTGAATGAATGTGTGGATGTATATGGGAATGAGTGAAACAGCCTACCCTTTCCTGTCACTTGTTTTCCAGATTCTAATTTGATATCCAAATTAATTTCAAGTGTTCTAAGAAAACGTATCTCTCAGAAAATCCTCATTTTTCCTAATAACATTTTTCCATCAACATATGTATTTGCCACTAATTGCAAAATTCACTCAACAACTCTGTTGATTTTTCTATTCTAGCCTGAATCTTGTCTGAGGGTGGGGAGTCAGGAAAGGGCAATGGCAATAACAGAAACAGTTGTTTTAATATTTTTAAGTGTGTTATCCTGCTTCGTTGGTATTAAAAATGATTTGCTAAAAAAAGGATTCTATTAACGATCCTTCAACACCGAAGTATTAAGATTGTTTACAAATAAAATACTTCTTTATCTTATAAATTAAGTTACTAGAAAAATAGAATTAGCTAAATAGAGCTGATTATGATATGCAGTATAACTCACCTGTTGCTGTTTATTACTAAAAATACATTCTTTTCAGGGATGTGCTTGGCTAAATGGGAGAGTGGTTATAACACGCGAGCTACAAACTACAATCCAGAACGCGAAAGCACCGATTATGGGATATTTCAGATCAATAGCCGCTGGTGGTGTACTGATGGAAAAACCCCAAAAGCACGCCATGGCTGTGGTATATCCTGCAACGGTAAGACAATAGCTGCATTGTAAGACAAGATGAGAGTCAAATGAGAGTCAAATGAAAAAGTCTTGACCTAGAAAAACTCCACCTCAACTTCTAGAAACTGTTATTCTTCTCATAAACCCTTATATAAGAAATTAAAGAGTCACTAGTCACTATAATAAAAGCTTGCTGTTTTCTAATACATGAATGTTCCTGGGATGACCTATTAATTTATTATAAATAGATTTACCGATATTTTGTCAATAAGAGTACAATTTCTCCAACTTACTTTGTGGAACTTATGGGATAATTTGGTTGCTTAGTCCTTTTTTAAAATTGTTTTTACTTGTTATTATAAAATGTTCTAAATCTAGAGAAAATTAGAGGTATTTGTGTCATAACTGGCCATATGCACATGCCCATTACATTATGTTAAAGTTGTTACTCTTTTGTCATTTTCATTTCTTTTATGCAGACTTGCTGAATGATTTTAAACTAAATTAGAAACATGACACTCCATTTCTAAATTTTTTTAAAAGATTTATTTATTTATGCATACAAGAACTGGGGCACAGCCCAGAGGTAAGAGGGGTGAGAAGATTCACCAGAGACAGAGTGGGGAGCAGAGCAGGTGGATTTACTGAAATATACGGCAGGCAAGACAGGAGAGGTCTGCTGTGCCATATGTGGATTAGCTCCCTGGCCCTGGATCTAACTCAGGCAAACTCAGGCAATATTGGTGATAGCGCTGAGACTTAACCCCCAGGCCACCAGGCACCCGGAGGCCCTGGGTACTTTTCTTACTAATTCTTTAGGATAAATTTCTAGTAGTAGAATTGCCATTTTTTTTTAAAGATTTATTTATTTATGCATACAAGAGCTGGGGTACAGGCCAGAGAGGCAGGGGATGAGAAGATTCACCAGAGACAGAGTAGGGAACAGAACAGGCCAATCTACTGAAATACACTGCTGAGGGGAGCAGCGAGTGAGGCAGGAGAGGTCTGTTGCACCATGTGGGTAGCTCCCTGGCCAGCCAGGGATCGAACTCATGCTGCAGAGGCTGCAGATTGCTTCATAGTGCAGTGCTTAACCCCTTGCGCCACCAGGGAGGTCCCTGTTTTGATTTTTTTACAGTGCCTAGTTTTCCCTCAACATTCACAGACGCCTGGAAAATAATTTCAGTGTTCTTTCCTTAGCCTAAATGAATAAAGCTGGCTAAATCTAAACTTAAAATGGAATGTCTAAGAAAGTTGTTTTCCTCCTTGCTACCTCTTTTTCAGCTGTACTTCAAGATGACATCACTGAAGCTGTTAAATGTGCAAAGAGGGTTGTCAGAGACCCACAAGGCATTAGAGCATGGTAGGTTTTCAACATGAAAGAAGAAAGCTATTGTACTCAGTTATTGTGAGAGAAGATTTTCAGAGTCCAGAGTATGCTACTGAGAACTTAAAATCATACCTTTAGACTTCTGCTAAACAATGTACTACCTAGAAACAGTCTACTTTTACTGATTCAGAATCTTACTCCCTTACGCCTCAACTTATTTTATTTTTTTAAGATTTATTTTTTTTATCCCTACTGGGGTACAGGCCAGAGGTATGGAGTGGGGGTGGTGGTGAGAAGATTCACCAGAGACAGAGTGGGAAACAGAACAGGCAGACTGGTTGAAATACACTGCTGAGGGGAGCTGTGGGCGAGGCAGGAGAGGTCTGCTGTGCCATGTGGGTAGCTCCCTGGCTGGGGATCCAACTCATGCTGCAGTGGCTGCGGATTGCTTCTAAGGTTGCATCTTAACCCTTTGTGCCACCAGGGAGGCCCTGCCTCAACTTATTTTAGGGGATTTCCAGAATTTTTGTAACTCTCCAGCTCCTTCTTGTATCTTGAAATTATTTTTGGAATTAAGGAATGCACTTAGCAGTTGCTGTTGTCAGATGCACATTATTTCACCACTATGCTCTAGTGAAGGCTTAGGGGGGATATGAAGTACTTGGTTTACATTTTTCCATTTACTAAATAGCAAACCAGGACCTAGCTATAGCCTGTATTTCATTTACATTAAAGAGTTTATTTCCCCAAAGGATTTCAAGTGTCTGTATTACAGTGAAGATGTGTTTAAGCTGATCACTGTTTCTCCTTTATTTACAGGGTGGCATGGACAGACCATTGTGAAAACAGAGATGTCAGTCAGTACATAAGGGGTTGTAGAGTTTAACTGCAATTTCCCTTCTTCAGCTCATTTTGTTTCTTTGCATATTAAGGGAGTAGTAGTTGAGGGGAAGGTGACAATACCATTTTTTTCAAACAAATTGCATTTAAACATAATTAGAAACAAAATATGGTCTTTCCCCTAGAGACGCAATATCTACTAATGTGTTTATTATTTTATATGAAGCCTACAAGAATTTTCAGTTTACTAACAGAATGACTGTTTGTGAAATTTTTGACTATCCAATACATTTCCAGTACATTTCCAGGCACTCTAGCCCTAAGGACTTTAAGACCAACGTTCCACAGTGGCCTCACAGGAAACCAAAGATACAGAACAGCTTTTCTTGAAGAGATTGGTAGTTGTGACCTTTATGCTAATGGAAAGGAGTTTTTAAATGTTGCTTTTATAGCTTTAGAAATAAAATCACAATTTATATATCAATGTGTTTTCTTCCTTCAAAGAACTCTTCTATGCATCTGGCTTGTTATGAATTAATAGAAATGTTTAGTTGAGCTGTTGCTGGTTTAGTGTTATTGACCTAGAGTCATGCATTGTCACTGAATACAGAGGCAGAAGTTTTCCAGGAATTGAAATAATTGTAATTAATCACAGGTGTGAAATTACGCATGTTTTGAACAAGAAAAACATTTTTTCATTAAAGGCTTTGCAACTCACCTTATCTGTCTTTGTTCAAACCCATCTGATCTCTGAAGAAAAAAAAATATCGGGGAAATAAAAAGATTTGGTACTTTTACTATTTCCTGTATCCCTAGTGGAACCTAAAGAGCTAGAGAAACAATCCACATACTGTTACAGGGCCCCTGTGTTTGGCTTGCTGTTTGTGCTATTGGATTAACCTGGTGCTAGTTCCTTCTACCTTTCTGTTGCTGACAACCTGATGGACTGAGATGCACTTCCCTTCAGAGTGAGGCAGAAAGGGTGTAAACTTGAGATGATGTAAAGCGTCTGTGTGTGCTTAAAGGTTCTGATGCCTTGCTTACAAAACCTGACGGCCAATATGCTGCTGCCCTGTCCTGGTAATCAGCCACATAAAACCAGAACCCCCAGTCCTCTCTACTCGGGAGTATGACTCGGGACACTTGTCCTTCTTCCCCTACTTTTTTTTTTAGAGGATGAATTTTTTTTTTTTTTTTTTTTTAAGATTTACTTCTTATTTATACAATGCTGGAGTACAGGCCAGAGGCACTGGAAGATTCACCAGAGACAGAGTAGGGAGCAGAGCAGGCAGACAGACCCAAAGCACTGCTAAGGGGAGCAGCAGGCACTACCGCACCATGTGGTCTGCTGCACCATGTGGGAATCTCCCTGGCCAGCTGGGTTTCGAACCTGCGCTGCAGAGGCTGCCGACAGCTCCACAGCGCTGTGCTGAACTCGCTGAGCCACCGGGGAGGCCCTTCCCCTATTTTTTTTTAAAGATTTATTTTATTTATGCATACAGAAGCTAGGTACAGGTCAGAGCTGTGGAGGGTGAGAGGACTCACCAGAGACAGAGTGGGGAACAGAACAGGTAGACTGATTGAAATCCACTGTTGAGGGGAATGAGTAGCGGGTGAGACAGGAGAGGTCTGCTGCGCCATGTGGGTCACCTCCTTAGCTGGGCATGGAACTTGTGCTGCAATGTCTGTCAGTAGTGCTGAGACTTAACCCTTTGCACTACCAGTGAGGCCGACCCCTATTGTTTATCCACAATAAATGTTCTTCTATTGAAACCTTTAACTGGCTATCAAAGTTTTTGTGTTTAGTTGGTGAAAGACAATGGCCCTTCAGAATTGGTAACAATTTGGTGACCAGGAAGGGATTGGGCCTCTGTCTCTTGAGACCCTTCCTCCAGTTTTCTTGATGACAGGACTGGCTGCTGACCACCCTAGATGACCCCAGGGGTTGCAAGAATGCTTTTCTTCTGAAATCCTCCAGGAAGGTAACTGGCACTGTCCTTGTGGCTTGGCTTAAATTTACTTTCAGTGTCAGGAAAGACAGGGTAGAGAACGCTTGAGTGAGTTGAGTGGAGCCCATTTGGCTCACTGAAGGAACAAAAGGGGCTGTAGGGCATTCCAGGCAGCCTATCTGCAGGCACCCCACTGGATATGCTAAGGAAAAGAACAATTTGGAAAATTAGGTAAGCTAGGAAAATGGAGATTTTCTTTACCTCCTCCTACATCTGGGAATAATCTGGACCCTCACTATGAAGATGGACAACACAGTTTGGAAGTCAGTAGCCTTTTTTAGAAAAGTCTATGAAAGGTCTTTGAGAGAACTCTGAGAAGAAAAGACTCAGAGAACATCCTGTGAGAAAATAGTTTATTCCAGAAATATTAGTTTGTAAGGGTTAACAATTTGGAAAATCTAAGGAAAAAAGTGTATAAAGAGAATTTTGTGAAAAGTATGGATATGTCTTTTCTCACTTTGTCTTGTCTAATATTAGAATTCATATATAATTGGGGTATAGATGACACACATAAATTCTCAACTCAAGAATATAGTAGCAACTAACCCAAAATGTTTAAGAAGTCACTGGAATACTTTTTGGTTAATAAGAGTTAGTTCAAACCTTAATTTTTAGGGGCCTCCCTGGTGGCACAAGTTCGATCCCTGGCCAGGGAACTGCCCACATAGTTCAGCAGACCTATCTTGACTCGCCTGCTACTCCCCTCAGCAGTGTATTTCAGTCAATCTGCCTGTTCTGTTCCCCACTCTGTCTCTGGTGAATCCTCTGACCTCCCCCCCAACACCTCTGGCCTGTACCCCAGTTCTTGTATGCATAAATAAATAAAACTTTAAAAAAAAAACCTTAATTTTTAAAGCTTGCATGTCTTTGAAGTGACAAATAATCCTGCTTACTAATCAGAATTAATTCATGTTATTCAACAAAAAAAGTAACTGACTTGGTCTCACAAAGTTTTTTGACTAAGAGGAAAAGAAACAGGCTCAGTACAGAGTTGTTTGGGTTTAATCATGAAGTTAGAAAGATGAGCCTGAAATAAGAAATGTCAGCCTGAAGCAGAAATATTAGCCTGAAGATAGACTCGCTTAAAAAGAAGTAAAGATTTAAACAAATGAGGTAGTAACCTTTAGCAATAATTAGCCTCTCAGAGATTTTTGGTAACTGAAACTTTAGAAATAGGTTATAATCTAGAAATTGGGAAGTTCAACTTTTAGGGTTGAGAGTTCTAATTGATGTGTGAATTTTAAACTAATGAAGGGAAACAACTCTGTAAAAAGGTGGGATGTTGATTGTGCTTTATTATCATTAGTTTTTTTCCTGATCCCTTATTTGGGTCTTCTAAATTCCTGCTATAAGTGAGATCATCCGGTATTTTTCTTTTTCTTTCTGGCTTATTTCACTGAGCATGATCCCTTCCAGCTCCATCCCTGTTGCTGCAAATGACATGAATTTATCTTTTTTGATTTCTGAGTAATATTCCATTGTGTTTATGTACCACATCTTCTTGATCCAGTCATCTATCAAAATCAACAGACAACTATAAACCAGAGACACACTATGGGAGGCCTGTCGGGTCGGGGAAGGGAGTAATATCAAAACAAGGGGTGGTGGGAATTTTATATTGGCTATAACCAAGATGAAAATGAATACATTGTACAAAAAAGAAAAATGATGCAACAAATATATAAAATTAGGGGCCTCCCTGCTGGTGCAAGAGTTAAGCACCTCACTATGAAGCAATCCCCAGCCTCTACAGCATGAGTTTGATCCCCAGCCAGCCAGGGAGCAACCCACGTAGGGCAACAGACCTCTCCTGACTTGCCTGCTGCTCCCCTCAGAAGTGTTTTTCAGTCAGTCTGCCTGTTCTGTTGCCCACTCTGTCTCTGGTGAATCCTCTCATCCCCTGCCTCTCTGGCCTGTACCCCAGCTCTTGTATGCATAAATAAATAAATCTTAATATATATATATATATATATCATTTTAAAAAGGTGGGATGGCTATGAAGGTATAGAAAATGTAGGCTTTTTAAGGGGCTGAGAAAAATTTAGTCTCAAGATGGAGCTGGTTATTTTTGGAGTGGAAAAGAAGGAGAGGAAAAGAGCAAGGTTTGAAAGAGAAATCTTAGAAGATTCAATGACTTGTCATACAAGTTTCCATCTTCTAAAAGGCCAAAGACTTAAGCTGTCATCAGAAGGTGATGTGGAAAGAGGGCAAGTGCTGATAGTCACTACAATTACATTGGTATTATTATTTTTTTAAAGATTTATTTATTTATTCATACAAGAACTGGGGTAAAGGCCAGAGATTTGGGGTGGGGTGAGAGGATTCACCAGAGACAGAATGGGGAACAGAACAGGCAGACTGACTGAAACACACTGCTGTGGGGAGTAGCAGGCGAGTCTGGGAAGGCTGCTGCACCAAGTGGGTAGCTCCCTGGCCGGGGATCGAACTCGTACTGCAGTGGCTGCGGACAGCTTCATAGGTTGTGTCTTAACCCCTTGCGCCACCAGGGAGGCCCTACATTTGTATTATTGAAGCTACTTGTGAGAGGGTAACCCACCTGCCTTCAGTCTCATGAATAATCTCATGTACCGCACAGGTGGCTAGGTTGCCAGTCCTTCATTATCTACTTGCTTGTTTTTGCTGCTAAGATCAACCTAGGATAATTCTGGAATTTTAAGCATTTCAGGGGCTATTAGGTAGATTTAGTGTGGGACCTCTAGCAAAGTAGTTATGGTGAATTTGCTGTTTATAGAGAGACAGTTGAAACCAAGAGCAGATGATTTATTGCAAAAGAAAGCATTTCTACCTTATGAAAAACTTTGTATATTGTTACTAATATTCTTTTTTGTTGTTGTTACAAATCTTCTAATGTTAAAAAGTTCTAAAAATTAAAAACCATTGTAGGCATGTGTTTGTTTCTTATTTAAAATATGTACCCATGATAATAATAAATAGGAATGACATATTGATTTCTCAGCAGCATATACATGTTTAGTATTGAAAATTATTTTTATATACAGAATGTTCCTATGTGTGCTGAATAGAATGTCTGATTCTACTAAAATTAAGTGGATACGTGATATAACTCATTCCATTTTTCAGTGATTATAAAGTATTTTTATCACTTTCTTTAGTTTTTTTTTTTTTAAGATTTATTTATGTATACAAGAACGTAGGTACAGGCCAGAGGTGCAGGGGCGGGGGGTGTTAGAGGATTCACCACAGATAGAGTGGGGAACAGAACAGAAGGATTGACTGAAATACACTGCTGAGGGGAGCGGTGGGCAAGTCAGGAGAGGTCTGCTGTACCACGTGGGTAGCTCCCTGGCCAGGGATCAAACTTCTGCTGCAGTGGCTGCGGACAGCTTCATAGGTTGCATCCTAACCCCTTGTGCCACCTGGGAGGCCCACTTTCTTTAGTTTTTATTTCCTCCAGAACAGCACCTCTGTCAAGCACCATGTCTGCCTCTCCCCCTCTCTAACTGTGAAACTCTTTGTCCTACTCCTATACAAGAGGATGACTGGTCAAGCTTGGGCTACACCTACTGTCAAGGACTATTTAATTATAGGTCTTTGTCTTCCTGGAGAAACTGCTTAGGGTCATTAATGACAAAATCAATAGGAAAAAAATTACACTAATTTGGGAATGCTTGTTTTTCCGAACAGTGATTCAGAAAAGACAGGATACAATCTTCTCTGCTCAAACAGCAATGGCCACTTGTGACTGGATCATAAATTTGTTAAAGATTTCTCTGGCACATTGGAACTTGTTCTGGACCCAGAAAATTCTGGGTCTTTGAATTAAAATAAACACAAAGAGGGTAATTGTCAATTACAGTACTACATTATAATTTGTAATAAATATATATATTTCGCCTTCATCCTCTTTCTGAGAGAGCTTAAAACCCTTAGGATTTCCTAAGTGGTAAGCTCAACCAATACTTCAAATTCCAATCCCACACCACGGGGTTCATTCTAGTTTTTTCCTTTCTGTTTGTACCTCTCTTCTCTGACAGTAAGAAACCTGGCAACCATTATTGTTAATACCCTTAAAATACATTCTTAGCACATGTATGTATTTGCTCAATTTTCCTACATGTAATTAATCTCCCAACATTGCCACACCTTAAAATAGATGCTCTCCATTCAGGCTCTGCACCCGTTATTGGGCTGCCTCTCCCATATCTGGACACCATTCTTACAGTGTTACATCTCTGACACACCACCCTAGATCAATTCCTGACAAGAAGGGTAGACATTTTTTATTCTTCTTTAGACCTATATTCTAAACACCTGATGTATGGTACACAATCAGTTTCAGGTGACTGAGCGAACCTCTTTCTGATTATTTGGTGTATTGCCCCATGTTGAGCACGCTAAGATTTTTCTTACTCTTCAAACCCACATGGTTCTGGTACAACAGCTTCTAGTACTTAAGTTCAGGCTTCAAGTCTGTGTGAATGCAGAGCAGCCATGGGGGGCAGCACAGGCCCCACACAAGTGTAGCCTGAGACTTGACGCTTCTGCAACCATTGTGATATGAATAACCCCAGAAAGAGTGTAAGTTTATTCATATTGCAGAGGTGAGTGAAGAATGAGCCCAGTAGGGCAGAGAAACCTGAAAAGCAATCGCTGAGAAGCAGAGACAGGATATATCTCAGAATTACCAGGCTAACCCAATACAGAGGCTAACTGGAAAAAAAACAACCAGAGATTAGCAAAACTTGACCAAAGAGGAAAAGCAATGTTTGTTGGAGATTTTGCTTAGTTTTTTTTAATAAAAAAATATTTTCTGACCCATACATGTTACTTTAATATACAATTAAGTTCTCAAACAAAATTTCAACCCTTATTCTGGGAGTAGAATAAAAATCAGTATTATTGTTTAATATCTTAAAACGCAAATCCTGTACTGCTTTAGTTTCATCCCTGGATATTCAGATAACAAAATCGAGATGACAAAACTGAGTTCTTCCTGTGGTACTAATTATACCTAAGTTCTGAGCACATTTCTTGCATGTCTATTTAGTGAACTCACAAAAAAATACTTCCTTGTAAGTAACCCACGGGAATTACTAAAAAATATAATCAGGGGTGTCTAATGTCATTCATAGACATGTTCTTCAATTAAATGAATATTGGGTAAATTCTTTTTTAAATCATTTTAATTTTACCAAGTTTATGAATCTGCAATGTTGTCAGATAGTTCTGCAAGGTTAAATTAGATATAACTAAACTCCCCATCCCCTTTCTTCCCATGCAACCACTTTTTTCTCTTTTAGCTTACTTAATATTTCAATAATCTTACATCTATTTAATGCTTTTAGGTATTATCAATAGGTTTATATTGATCCTTTTTTAAAAGATTTATTTATGCATACAAGAACTGGGGTACAGGCCAGAGGAGGGGTGTGTGTGTGACAGGATCCACCAGAGACAGAGTGGGGAACAGAACAGGCAGAATGACTGAAATACACTGCTGAGGGGAGCAGTGGGCAAGTCAGGAGAGGTCTGCTGTGCCCTGTGGGTTGCTCCCTGGCCTGCCAGGGATCAAACTCATGCTGCTGAGGCAGCGGATTGCTTCATAGTGCAGTGCTTAACCCCTTGTGCCACCAGGGAGGCCCTATATTGCTCCTTCTTGATGTTTATTTTTGGTTACTGCCTTCCCACTATAGAAGTTAAGGATTAACTATTTCCTTCTCCTCATTCACGTACAGCAACCTTCCCCAAAATAATATTATTTTTTTGGTTAGATGGATATTCAGTACTTATAGAGCCATAACTCAATTACTTTCCTATACATGATTTCATCTTCCTAGCTGTAACGGCAGCGCATCCCTAAATTTCCTTGGCTGGGCTGACGACAGGCTGACCGCGGACTCCGGGGTCGCGGCGGACGCCCCAGACTCAGCCGCCCTCCCCGCGCGGCGCGGCCCCACGCATGCGCAGATTTTGCGCGCGCCCGCCCGCCCGTCGCGCCTGCGCACGCGCCGCCGCCGGCCTCCTTCCGCTCCCTCTCCCCGCGCGCAGCTGAATGGGCTTCCGGGCCGCCTCCCGCCGTGAGGAGTTGGCGGTTCCTCCGCGCCGCTCGCCCCGGCCTCGCCCGCCCTCGGCCAGAAGCGCTCGGTCTGGGCCCGCGCGGGAGGAGCGGGGGCTCTGAGGGGAGAGGCGACCCCGCCGGCCCCGGTGTGTTTCCCTGGCGGCGGCGGCTTCTTCCGTGGGACAATATGTTCAAGAGAATGGCCGAATTTGGGCCTGACTCCGGCGGGAGAGTGAAGGTCAGTGCCCGGCCCGCGCTAGCCCCGGGGCGCTCGGCGCCGCCCCTCTGCGCGGCGTGGGGCGGGCCCGCCGGCCCCTCGCGCCCGCCCTGCTCGGGGTGGAAGCGTCGCTTCAAGGCGGAGAGCGAGGCGAGCTCCCGAGCGAAGAGTCAGTGTTCATTGGGCCCCAGGTTGGGCGCGTCAGCATCACCCGTCCGTCCGCGCCAAAACAAAGCAAAATACAAAAAAACACACAAAACCAATCTGACGGCCGGGAAAAGCTGATTATTATTGCCGAGAAAAAATGCACATGGAGGGCTGGGAAATTAGGCCTTGGGGTTCACTGCTGCCAGTCACCTGATTGTGAGGATAATAACATTAGCAGATAATTGGGGCCTCCCTGGTGGCCCAAGGGGTTAAGACGCAGCACTAGAGCACGAGTTCGATCCCCAGCCACGCCAGGGAGATACCCACATGGCGCCGCAGAACCTCTTCTGACTCGCCCGCTGTGCCCCTCCTTCATGGATTTCAGTACATCTGCCTGTTCTGCTCCCCACTCTGCCTCTGGTGGATCCTCTCACTTACTGCATCTCTGGCCTGCACCTGAGCTCTTGTATGCATAAATAAATAAAGCTTTCAAAAAAATTTGAAGATAATTGATAAGTGTTTATCGCGTGCGCCAACTCAGTAGCCAAACTTCTTAGCCAATCGCTTGATTGAGCCCCAACCAGAGCCTCAAGGAGGCGGTGGCACCCGCAGTCATTATGAATGTGGTGGCTGAAGGACTAGCGGGTGGGACAGTTGAGTTCAAGGTGTTCACAAAGCCTGGGCAAGATACTAAGGCACGCAAACAACAATAAAATGGCAATGCCTTTCACAGAGGAACTGTTCATTAAACGTTAGCTTATTTCTTTTTTAAAGTCAATAGCACAGTAACAACAGTACCTGACATGTTTGACACAGAAGCATTTTCCTCCCACTTTCCTACCTCCCTGGTACATTAATTGTTAAGGCAAGACCATCTGGTTCATGATAACACCTATATTCTGCAGAAAAGCACTTTTTCTCTAAAAGGGAATCATGCACTTTTGTGCCTACCTAATCTTTGGGATTGTTTGAGTCCTTATCCATGGCATGCTGTTTTAACTTAATTTTAGTTACACTCTAGCAAACTGCCTTACTAATGCTTTAATAGCACATGTCAATGGGAGTTCTTCGAAAATTTCAAAAGGTGTGGTAATTTAATGAAAGGGGAAAGGGAAAAGCATGCCAGGTAAAAATAGAAGCTTCATCAATATGTTTCTCTCAACTTTGGGCAAGGTTTTGGACTGAGGAAACTGCGAAGAAAGGGTTAAAATAGTATATTTTAGAGAAGCTACAGAACTTTCTCTACTTGTAATCTATGTTCGATTTGTAAATTTCAGTCCAAAGTGACGAGATTACACCTACAGTCCTCAGATACTTTTCCACTAGAAGTGGGTGTGAGTTAATCAAGAGCTTTACAATTACTTCTCCTTGCTGATGGTTTTTCAGTGTGGCATCTTTTTTCAGTTCAGTTAAATTTCATCCAGGTAACAAATCTGTTGATAAATGATGCCCCTTTTCACCAGTGAGGAACTCTGCAAGTTCTTGAAAAAAGGTAGCAGCTAGGGGTTAGATTATACATCCACCATGTCAGTGCTGCTTGTACTCATTCTGTCAGGCCTTGAAACAGCTCCATCTGTGCTTACCACAAAAGTGTCAACAGCATATCCATATTTTTTTCAGTTTTCATATAAACTGCTCGGTATATTCTGACCTAGCTTTAGGCTAAGAGGTATTCATTTTAATTGCTGATTATTCAGTCACAATGAAGTGTTTTCCACTTTGTTCATTTTCCTCATTTTTTATTATTGATTAGCTTGTCACAGCACTTTTCATGTGTGTTATGTCTTGCTCTCTATTCTTCAGGTACATTCTTGAAAAGCTGATTTCAAGTTCATGTGCAACACCCCGTATTTTCTCTTCACTCAATTTTTCTCTCCTTTCCATCATAATCTATCAATTACTCATTGCCTTTGTATTTGCCAGATGCTGAGAAACATGTATGTACATCTCAGAAGTGAGCACTAATGTAGCAAAAAAACCATCACCAGTTTTTACCAAGTTTCACTTGGTAATGCCACTCACCATTATTTGAATCCAATTGTGATTAATATTTTTATCTAAATCAATTTTCTATAAACCCCTTCCTATGCAACATTTTTTAATATTGTGGGTTTTGAGTTTCTGATTAGTTATGGTTTCAGAAGCAAACTCTAGTTTGTTCGACTACCTGCCATTCCTTAAAACAAGCTTTCCAAATTCTCATTCCGTTTGTTGGGTAATGACAATAATTGTTGATCTTTAAATTATTTTTTTTGGGGGGGATACTATTGTTAAACCAATAGTTTATGGTAATGTTGCTCGGTATTTTGGGAAGAAAAGAGAAGAGGATGGCCACACCCATCGGTGGACAGTCTATGTAAAGCCATACAGAAATGAGGTAGGCACTTAATTTTCCTATAATTTTTAAAATTTGTTTTGCTAGAAGATGAGTTGTAATGTTTTCATAGTACCTTTCTAATCATAAAATTGGTGCATTGTAGGAACGTTCCAAAAAGTTGCAAGATTAAAGAACTGTTATCTTCACATAGTTCTTAATAGAAGTCAAATGTTCCAGAAATATTTTCTCATTAAATTACAGTAGCAAGAGCTATGCTGTCAACACAGTACATCTTCCAAACATCACTGAGTATAGTATTTAATCAGGTATTTCAGGAATAGCGGTAAATACTTTTGAAGTGATAATTTGGTAGTAAGACTATTTCAGAGAAAATGGAACACATATCTACATAATCTGACTTTTGGTAATTTTAGCTGCTAAACATCTAGTGCCTGGAATGCAGCCATTACATAGTAGGCATTCAGACAGACATTTATTAAATGAATACACTATTCTTCTACTTAAAACTCTTCAAAGTCCATACAAAAACGGGTCTATGAACGTTTGTAGAGGCATTATGCATAAAAGCTAAAAAGTGGGAAGAACCCAAATGTCGATGAACTGATGAATGGATAAATACCATGTGGTATGTGCACACAGTGGAATATTATTGGACAATAAAAAGAAGGAAAATGATGATACCTGCTACTACCACATGGAAGAAATTTGGAAATTGGTAAATGAAGGAAGCCAGAAACAAAAGGCCACATATTATATCATTCCATTTTTATAAAATGCCCAGAATAGGCAAATCTATTTGTTACAGAACAAAGGAAGAGGTACCGCAGAACCTCAAACCTGCCCACTTTATGTAGATTCTGCCATCCTCTGCATCAAGGTAAAACATACTCTAATGCTTCAGCCCTTTAATGGAAAGGAACTTGAATACAATTAGTGTGCAACAAAGAAAAGGGGAAGAATAAAGTGTCCAAATCACGCACCCAAAGTTAACCATCCCTTGTGGGTAAATGTCCAGCCAAACAGGATTGGCCCAAAGCAGGCCTGAGCGCCTGCCATAAGTCTAAAGCACTTTCTAGTGGGTACCCTAGAAAAGGGTTAGAAATAGGGCCTCCCCGGTGGCGCAGCGGTTGAGTGCTGGGTTGCGAGGCTCCCCGCAGCCTCTGCAGTGCCAGTTCGATCCCCGGCTTCTCCCCGGCCACCGGAGGAGGGTCCCACATGGCACGTAGACCTCTCCTGCCGTCTGCTGCTCCCCTCAGCAGTGTACCTCGGTCCTTCTGCCTGCTCTGCTCCCCGCTCTGGCTCTGGTGAATTCTTTCGCCCTCCCGCGCTCTGACTGTGCCCAGTGCTTTTATAAATAAATAAATAAATAAATCTTTAAAAAAAGAAAAAGAAAAGGGTCAGAAATAGCCAGACAAGTCTGGAAGGCAAAGAGCAAAATCAAAATCAAGATAAACACTGCCAGTGTTAGCCTCCCCACGAGTCTCTCACCCATGTCTGTTTCAGCCAGTCCAGGACCAAAAAGCAAGAGCAGATTCCTCACACATCTCTGCTCCATGTGCCTCCTCCAGGTCTCCTTCTGGCTCTCGGTCCTTCTTCCTCCTTCCCCAGTGTCCTCTGCAGCAGCTTTTCTCCCTGCTCAGCTCCACCCTACCGTGGGTGGGGCAGGGAACCTGGAACCTCCCCTTTCCTTGGGGACCACCTTATTATACATTAATAGAGAAAATAGATTTGTGGTTGCCAGATTTGGTTGTGGGATCGATAAGAGAGAAACGTACTCATAGGTGTGTGGTTTCTTTTTGTGTGATAAAAGTGTTCATTTTAATTATGAGATTGTGTCTGTTGCACAACTCTTTGAATTACTGAAAACCATTGTCTGGTACACATTAAATGGGTGAATTATGTGATTATGTGAATACATCTCAAAAAAGCTCTTTTTTTTAATCATTGAATGATTACCTTTTTTTAAATTTAAATATTTTATTTTATATAATTCTTATATCTTTTTTCATCTTTGCACAATGTATGCATTTTCATTTTGGTTATATTCCCCATACAATTGCACCCCCCCCCCTTATTTTGACTCTAGTCCTTCATTTTTCTTCCCCTCCATCCCCCCCGCCTCCCACTCTGGTTTCTGGTTTCTAGTTGCTTGTTAATTTTGATTTTTACTTTGTATTGATTAGTCTTTTTCCTGGTCACTTATTTAGGATTTCTGAATTCCTGCTACGAGTGAGACCATCCAGTATTTTTCTTTTTCTTTCTGACTTATTTCGCTGGGACAATAATGATCCCTTCTAGCTCCATCCATGTTGCTACAAACTGCATGTGTTTATCTTTTTTTGATTGCTGAGTAATATTCCACTGTGTATATGTACCACATCTTCTTGATCCAGTCATCTATTTTTGGGCATTCGGGTTGTTTCCAAATCTTAGCTATTGTAAACAGTGCTGCTATAAACACAGGTGTGCAGGTGCCCTTTGGAATTACTGTTTCTGTGTCATTTGGGTAAATACCTAGGAGTGGAATTGCTGGATC